GGTCCTCATGGTAAAGTCTGTTAGTGATCTCCTTACAGTTGGAGTTCAGAGCAAAAGGAGGATTCCTGATATGGTCACTAGTTAAGCCCACTGGGTATTAATCTCAGTAACGGGTTTCCTGAAAGCTGATTCCTGTGTTATTGAAGAACAAATCTGGACAGAACAACAATCTTGTAGACAGTAGCAACCCTCTGGGCTTTTGTCATACTTTGCCCCCTTTAATTTAAGGGAGATATGTTGTGATAAAACTACCTAATTTAATAATTCTAGTTGTTTTGCTTCCTTCACAGAAGGAAGGCTTCAAGAGGAATGGCAAGTTGTTGCTATTGGGGCCTTAAGAAAGAATTTATAAGCTTAAATGATGGTTAATGATTACTGGAACATTAAAATGATGGAGGAATGGGGAATGCAGTGGTAGTGAATGAAAATCCTTTGATTTGCCTTTCATGTTCCAGTGCCTTTGGTTCCATTGGAAGCTACCATTTCCTGGCCCCCAACTCCCTAGTTGTGTTTTGTTGACTAGAAAAGCTCTCACAAAATATTACTGAATTAGGGCTCTTTCGAGTTTACTCTATGATAGTGCAGTATACCACATGTTTTGTAGTGTAAACTGTAGGCTTCTAGCTAAGACTGATTTACTGAATACTCTGTTTTAACATGTCTGGAACATTCTGTTCTTTCATTCTCGTTCCTTATCAGTGAATGGAATCACTGAAGAAGCTGATCCAACTCTTTACTCTGGTAAAGTAATTCGTCCTTTGCGGAGTGTAGATCCCACACAGACTGAATACCAGGGCATGATTGAAGTTATGGAGGATGGTAAGATTTCTCACCTATAATTGATGCTTGCTTTAATTTGGTAGTAAATACAGCTGTGAACTCAAGATAGATCTACATATTCCCTTTTCAGATGCAGAATAAGATTAATAATTTAATGAGTGGTAAATGGAAATGCTAACGGTTATATTCACACTGTATTGTTAACAATGAAACTGTCACAACTAGTATTAAGAATACCTTTTAAGTGTTCTCAGTTTAAAAAACTTTTGTTTTTCCACCTCCTCCCCTCCAGGTGAGATGAAAGGAGAGGTTTATCCATTTGGAATTGTTGGAATGGCAAACAAAGGTGACTGTCTGCAAAAGGGAGAAACAGTAAAATTTCAGCTCTGTGTTCTTGGTCAAAATGGGCAGACAATGGCTGTTAACATTACACCTTTCCGCAGAGCCACGGTGGAGTGTGTTAAAGATCAGGTGAGTGAATACCAATCTGAGGACAAGATATATGATAACCGTTTGAGTTGGCATAGAGCAGGCGAGAATCCAGTTCAGCGCCTGATCTATAAAGCTTCGGCTTGTGCACAAACTATGATGATTTTATGCTCTTGTTCTAGAGAAAGACTTTGTGTAACCCACGTAGTGATTTCTGTAAATCTGCGTAAATTGATTTCAGAAAAGGTGAACTACAGCTTTGGTGCTGATAAATTGCTACTGAGCAATGGTTCCTTTTGTGATTGTTTCTGAAGAGCTACTCTGTCCTGTTCTGTGCTTTTCTAAGAATTCATCTAGCTAGTTACTGCTGTGTATTTAATAAAATAATTTAAATAAAAGTGTGTTTAAGAAGATAAGGGGAGAAAAAAAAAGCTTGCATGCTGTGCTACTGGAAGAGGCTTCTTCACAGCATTAAGTAGTCAGTGATTGTAGTCAATCTAAAATATGAAGGGATATGAAGGGTGATCACTATCCTAGTCACTTGCAGTGTAAAAGGATTAGAATTAATTTCTCCGAACAGAGTGGTTTCCTCTAACTTTGGAGATAGTGATGGGGGAAGAAAAAAAAAACTGAGAAAACCACTGCTGCATGTCTTTATTAATACTGCTGCCAGTGCTTCTCGGGTTTCAGAACTTGTCTATAGACTTGATGTTAGATATCCAATAGGTGGCTAAACACTAAAAAGTATTATTTCCAGACAAAATGTCTTTAGTATAGAAACTCCATTTACTTTTCAAAGTGGTGTGGGTGGGATATTTCTTTAATAGCAGTAATAAGTATGTCATTATATTTTCTTAGATAAAAGTGAAAGAAATAACCATGTGTTGTATTGTTTTCAGTTTGGCTTCATTAACTATGAAGTGGGTGACAGCAAAAAACTCTTCTTCCATGTCAAAGAAGTTCAGGATGGTGTGGAACTACAGGCTGGGGATGAAGTGGAGTTCTCAGTAATCCTGAACCAGCGCACAGGGAAATGCAGTGCCTGTAATGTGTGGCGTGTCTGGTGAGGACTTGGAATTAAACTTTTAATGTCTGATAGCACTGATGGAGAAGTTAGTGTAGCATGCCTATGGTTTCTAAAATAGCTCTTCCTAGAAGTGGAACTCTAAATTTCAGCTGGCTTCAGTGAGAACCTGAACCTCATAGGAGAGCACGGTGAGCAGAGCAGCAAGGCTCTCAGCTTTTCTTGATTGCACAATGTTGACTTTGTTTTGTCTGTTTATTTTTCGTCTATTAAGTTCTACATAATAGAGACTTGAACTTTTTTTTACTTGGAAATGAAGAAGTGTTAGGAAAACTCAATGAAGCACTGTGGATAGTCAGGACCATATGGCAATTTATGCATTATACATAGTGCCACTTGTTTTCTAAAAAGCGTCTTTCATTTTAAACAGAAAAATTTCAAACAAGCCAAACTGTGATGATGTCTTAGAGAATATGACCATGAATTAAATAGCTTACATTATCTCAGTCATCACTGGTCTGAATGGTTGACTCTCTTACAGTGAAGGCGCTAAGGCTGTTGCTGCTCCACGTCCTGACAGACTTGTCAATCGTTTAAAGAGCATTAATCTGGATGATGCCAATGCTCCTCGTCTAACAGTTCTTCGTCAGCCCAAGGGGCCGGATAACTCAAAGGTGTGTAAGATAAGGCTAGCTTGCAGAACTGCAGTTTGTGTTTTTGCTTCGATAATGTAGCCTTGCTTCCTCTGTTGGAAGTCTTAAACTGAAATCTTTTGTTCAATTCAGTTTCTTAGTGGGCTAATCCCCAGCAGTGTAAAGCTAGATTAATCAGAAGACAAGGAACCTATACTCTCAGTATATAATAATATACTCAGCATATAATAATAAGATATTCTGCAGTTTCAGAAAAGCACAATTAATAGAATTGGCCAGTTAGTTGCATTGTGCCTATAACCAGTATCTTTGTTTTTCCTTCTATAAGCCTTCTAATTATAGAAGGATGCTTCTCCATATTCATAAATAAGAGAAATGACTGTATGTAAACCTGTCTTTCACATGAAGTCCTGTCACCACGTCACCACTTGAAATGCAGAAAGATTACTATGCCTGTAAGCAGTGGCAAATCTAAGACCACAAAGAGTAAACGCAGCATCCTTGTGGTTGCTTAAAGCTATTACAAGTTATAAAGTGTGCTTAAAATTATGATTCTGGAGTTGAAAATCCTCTCTCTCTCTCTCTCTCAATTTTTTTTTTTCTTTTCCCGCTTCTTTACTTTCAGGGATTTGGTGCAGAGAGAAAGATTCGCCAGGCCGGTGTTATAGACTGATTCACAAAACCCGTACCTGAAGTACGACTGAGTGATGGGGGCTGGTGAAGGGTACTGAATTCATCCCTTCCAAATTCTAAGAAGCTATTACATCAGTTTTAACACCTTTTCATGTTATGTTTAAAATAAATTTATGAAACCATTTTAAAATTATGCACAGTTGCAGCCTGGAGAACTTAAGGTGGCGCCTTATAGTATCACATTTTAGAAGCTTGTTTTGAATGGTGCATTTAACGCAACTGGTAACTGCAAATCTTCATTGCCTATGTGAGTAAACATTATAGAATGCTCTACTCTGGTAGACCTTATGGAATTCTGCACTACACTTATATATGCTTTCTTTGTTATTTTGGCCAAGGTTTTACTATGCCTTAGTTTTCAGTTGTTTTATCTCCTGCCTTCCAAGTAGAAGGTCACTTTCTGCTCGCTCTGCTCAAATTCTGAGGACCACGTGAATGCAGAGTATGTTCAACTTTATACAAAATCTGTATGAACGTTCAGATAACCTAAGTAGGTGGCCAAATGTTACACTGTTTTCAGAGTTCATTTGAGTTCTTTAGCCAGCAAATTTCTATTAGAGCTCAAAGAAAATCTTTTTCCAGGATAGACCCATTTTTGTAGCATTCTTAAATGCATGCAGTGCAGAATTACATAAGGCTGAGGTGTGCCATCAGTGTGGTAATTTAAATATATTTAAAAAATGCACAAATCTGCTGCTGCTTTGAACACTGCAGCTTCTAAACCCAGTTTCTTTTACTGATTTAAATTTAAAAAAAAAAAAAGTTGTGCCTGAAGTGAATACTTTTTTTTCTTTTTTTGCAGCCAGCACCCAGTGTACTGTAAAAGAATAAATACTTAGGCTTTCCATAGCTGTATTGAGACTTTCATCAAGGTGAAATAGTTGATGTCTGTGTGCTTTATTTTTTTTTTCCCCTTCCCCACCCCTTTCACTCTCCCTTGCTTTCCCCCTATTTCCCCAGTCACACTTTATCAAGCAAGAAAACTGAATGATTGGTCTAAGTATTACTTTAACCAAAAAGATCAGGAGTTATTTTCTTTGAATAGAGGGCAGTACTGTGTTTTTTGGTTTTTTTTTTTTTTTTTCCATGTTACCTCTATTCTCAGTTTAGGGTTTTCTTCTCTGGGAGATGCATTATCTTTGTAAAACAAACATTGCTTTCTCCAGTTTTTTTTTTCTGTTAATGGCAAAGAATGGAAATAGAATAAAGTTTTACTGATTTTGAACAAAGTCTCCCTTCTCGCCGCCTGTGTTGTTGACGCCGGGCCACGAGGGGGCGCGGATCTGAAGCGGCAGCGCCACCGACATTTCCGGCAGCCGGTGTGACGTCACGCTCCGGCCGGAAGCCGGAAGGCGGCAGCTCGGAGGGGTGCAGCGCGTTGGCGGGCGGCGGGGGCGGGGGCCGCCCCGAGGCGCGCGGCGGCCGCGCCCGCGGCCATGACCGAGTACAAGCTGGTGGTGGTGGGCGCCGGCGGCGTGGGCAAGAGCGCGCTCACCATCCAGCTCATCCAGAACCACTTCGTGGACGAGTACGACCCCACCATCGAGGTGAGGCGGCGAGAGGGCCCAGCCCGGCCCGGCCGGCGGGCACCGAGCATCTTCACTCGGCGCCGCAGCCGCGGCAGCCTAGCGCGAGCGCTGGGCAGCGTGCTCCAACTGCAGGAGGGCGTTTGCTGTTTTAAGCAACGATTTTATTTATTTTTCTTTTGGCCTTTTTTTCTCGCCTTGAGGGGTAAATATATTAACGTGCAGATTTTAGCAATATCGTTTTAAAGCATCTGATTGCTTTCAGGAACGGCATTTAAAAACACTTGTGGGAGAATGCTGAACAGATGTTACAGAATCTATACTTGTTTCCATGTTATGCATATTAAATACTTAAGAAGAAGGTAGATACTGCAGCAGACTTTGTGCTTAGAAATAAAGACATGGGATCAGTGTGTGCAGGACCAGGAACTGTAGAAAATTCAAATTTCCTAAGCATTTACTTTGGTTTCCAGAGCAGAATGTAGGCAGCCAAAAGCAGAAACATTTAAAAAAAAAAAAAAAAAAAAAAGTTACTTTACTGCAGGACTGTCTAAACTTTAGTTTATGATCATAATGTTATAGTGAGATAACTTAGAAATTATTGACTGTGTTGCTTGAAAAATTACTTCTAAAAAATAACTTTGCTTTTTGCAAGAAAGTTTGTGCATTTGTTAGATTAAAATCTTAAGTGTTTTTAGTTATCTTTTTTTTTTTGGTAGGAAACTGTAGAAAAGCTCTTCTGAATTATAATCTCCTTAATTATTTTAATGCTGCCTCATTTTGAAATAAGTAGTGGAAACCTTTTTTAATTTAAAATTCTCATATTTTCTGCAGGATTCATATAGAAAGCAGGTTGTTATTGATGGAGAAACGTGTTTGTTAGACATCCTGGACACTGCTGGACAGGAAGAGTATAGCGCCATGCGTGACCAGTACATGAGAACTGGGGAAGGTTTCCTCTGTGTTTTTGCCATTAACAACAGTAAATCGTTTGCTGATATTAACCTTTACAGGTATGATCTAGTTCTTTACCACTAGGGAGAAATGTCTGAAGAGGTATGTTAGCTTTGAAATCTAGTGAAGAATAAATGCTAGAAAAATGTTAAAACTCCCACTTTCTGGAAAAAAAATCCAAGCTTTTAAACATTCTGAGTCTATACATAATTAGTTAGTGAAGAATGGAACAACTTTCCAGGCTGCTGTGTTAATTAAATGCTTTTTATGCTTTAGAGCAAATGGAAAAGGAGACATAAGACAGTGGGTAGGAAATGGAAGGAACATCAAAGTGGGCTTATTCTTGATTTTGATGGAATTATGGTGGCTTTTAAAAGTACTATTTTATGTTAGTACCAGGGTTGGGCAGGACCTTGGAGTTTCTATCTTCTGTAGTGCAGTTATCTTGATACTTAATTAAGCCACCATTTACATGTAAAATTAGCTTCTAACCTTTTTTTTTCCTTTTTTTCCTTTCCTTTTTAAAGAGAACAGATAAAGAGAGTGAAAGATTCAGATGATGTGCCAATGGTGCTAGTGGGAAATAAGTGTGATTTACCCACAAGAACAGTAGACACAAAACAGGCTCAAGAATTAGCAAAAAGCTATGGAATCCCCTTCATAGAGACATCTGCTAAAACAAGACAGGTAAAATGCTTCCATTCTTTGTCTGTTTCTACTGTAAATGCAGAATCATCTAACTCTTCCCCATCCAGTTTTCTTGGCTTTTTATTGAAGGCCAATTATGAGGTTGTTTACAGAAAATACCCTCAAAATACCTGGGCAGGACTAACCCCAGCCACCAGTATGGATCAGGGGTTGAGCTGCTGGAAAGCAGCTCTGCACAGAGAAACCTGGGAGTTCTGGTTGATACCAAGTTAACCATGAGGCAGCAGGGTCCTCGTGGCCAACGAGGTCAATGGGATCCTGGCTGCACGAGGAGGATATTGCCAGCAGAGCAAGGAGGGGATCCTGCCCCTCTGCTCAGCTCTGGGGAGGCCACGCGTGGAGCACTGGGGGCTGTTCTGGGTTCCCCAGTATAAGAGGGATGTGGAGCACCTAGATAGGGTCCAGCAGAGAGCAACAAAGATGATTAAGGGACAGGAGCATCTCTTGTATGAGGAGAGACCGAGCGAGCTGGACCTGTTTAGCCTGGAGAAGAAAGGACTGAGAGGGAGGGGATCTGAGGGGAGAATGTAGGGAGGAGGGGACCAAACTCTTCTCAGTGGTGGCCAGTGATAGGACAAAGGGTAATGGGTACAAGTTGGAACACAGGAAGTTTCATCTGCATGAGAGGAAGAACTTCTTTCCTGTGAGAGTGACAGAGCCCTGAAACAGGCTGCCCAGAGTGGTTGTGGAGTCTCCTTCTCTGGAGATCTTCCAAACCCGCCTGGATGCCACCCTGTGCCATGTGCTCTGCGTGTCCCTGCTTGAGCAGGGATTGGACTAGATGCTCTCTAGGGGTCCCTTCCAACCTCAACCATTCTGTGATTCTGTAGCTTAATTCTGAAGAAATCCTTCAGCTATATTGAATCTATGGCCACGACCAGTCAACCAGTGCTACCTACCTATAGTAATGTGGGATGAAGAAGGAAAGATGCAATTGTTAAGTAGCCAAAAATTGAATTCTGAAATGGAAATGTGGCAACTAGAGTTTGTTTCTGCACAGGATTTCTCTATGGTTACAGTTAGCTTTGTCTCTTTTTCATGACTCTTGCTCTGAATATTTACCTTAGAGGGAGAGTTAACAATTTAAGTGAAGAGGTTTGGACATAGGTGACAGCTCCCTGCTCTCATAAACTGTGGGATAAGGTGGCTACTACTCTTCCTGTGAAAGTATGTATTTCGAATATGTCAAGCAATCCTGTGATGGAAAGAACAGTGATCTCAAAGAAGTCAGAAAACGAAATACTTTACTTGGATCATTTGCACTCAGGGTGTGGAAGATGCTTTTTACACACTGGTGAGAGAGATTCGGCAGTACCGGATGAAAAAGCTCAACAGCAGTGAAGATGGGAATCAAGGCTGTATGGGATTGTCTTGTGTCGTGATGTGATAAGGTGAGCCATGATGAAGTGTTTGGTTTCTTGTCTGCATATCTTTTGAGTTGTTGATAAGCACATCTTAGAAATACTGACTGCTCTACCTTTTTTATTTTTCTGATTGTACAGCCTATTGATAGCCCAGATGCTTAGATTTTACATTTAATTACTCTTTTTTAAATCAGTAGAGAGGAAAGCATAAGAAGAACAAAGTCTATTCCCAACAACCTTTTGGCCTTTTTGAAGTGACACAAGCATCATCTGAAGTAGAAAGAATGTGCACAATTCTGAAGTCACAATTTGTTGATGACTGAATGACTTCTGCACGGCTTATCTTGAACTATATTACTCTGGTATATTCAGTATTGAAAGATTAACCCAGTAACATAAAGCTGGTGGTGAAATTTATGAATGTCCCAACTGAGTCAGGTTTTCAAAAGTTAGCTAGAATGTGTTGCTCATCATTATAGGAACAGATAGACCAGTCCAGAACTTGCACTACATTGTCATAACAGACATAACACACAAAGTTGTACAAAAGCTAATTAGAGATGCTTTTTTTTATTCCAGATGCCAAGAACACCTGGTTCAGATCTAGCTGATGGGCGAGTCTTGATGCTGCTGTATTGCATCTTGGGATGATGCCCTGCAGTATTTTGGTACCAGTTCATTAATACAAGGTCTTTTTCTGTGCTCCATCTGAAGAGAACATCTCCGGCATATACCTCTTTGCTCAGTTAATAGAGCAGTCACATCTCTTGACGCACTGGGATTCTTTTCTGATTGTTCAAGAAGAAAACCAATCATGAGAAAAGTGAATTTTAGAGACTAAATGCTGTGAAAAAGATGACATTTTACCTCTTGAGTGAAAGATAAACGTGATTTTTGTCCCCATTGTGTTGGATTCAGACTTGCAGTGCTGTCGGAGAAGTGGCCCTAAAAACTCTCTATTATAAAAATGAAATATCTTTGCTATTTAAGTGCCTGTTTGCTAAGAAGATCTGGAGTTGTACCCTGTTTTGTTGGGCTAAGGGAAACTCCGAGGACTGGGACATTTTTGGACGCTCATTGTCTTAAGTCGTCAAGCCTTAAGAAGAACGTGGATGATCTCTTTGCACAACAGGCTGACACAGCAGGAATTTGTAGGCTGGAAAATTCCGTTTGTAAGACTCTTAAACAAAAGAGCACAATGTACTGCATCCATTTTTGACTGTCTTTGTATGTGGAATTGTATATGTTCTGTATTGTTTTTCTACAACATTTGAATCTCCTCCAGGTTGGACCAAATTAGCCAACTAGTCGTTGTAACATAGACTGCTAATGTTTCTGGGCAGCTCCTCAATAGCTCATCTAGTAACTGGAGGTTAGTTCGTTTGGACAACTGTTGTTCAACTCTGTCCTTAACTTACATTTTTTTTTCTGAATTATTTTGTCATATCAACTGACCTTGAATATAATCCTTTTGAAATGGTTCTCTGTAAAACATAGTTGGAAGGTCTCCTTGTCAGGGAAGGAATCTAGGATTTCAGGTTTATTTTAACTGGTGTAATTGTTACCACAGACTTAGTGTGTTCAGGCTGAGGGGAGATGAACAATGAGCTGTAACAGAAAACTGAGCTGGATCTGGTTGCTGTATCATTCCAAAATGAGGAAGAAGCGAGTTCAGTGATGAATGCATAGATGTGTGATACACTGACGGGTATTTGGGGCTTGTTGTAATAGCCTCAAAGTATAAGAAAAATATTGCACAAGTCTTGTGAGTTCTTTCTAGAACAAAACACTGTCACCTCATATAGTAGGGACATTCAAGTATGGTCACTGTTGCAGTGTGGTCTTTCTTGGATAATGTCTTTCCCTAGTCTGTGTGCCACTGATTCTGGATTCAGTCCTGTTGCCTCAAGACAGCACATGCTGCAGCAAAGGCAAGTTACTGTTTGATGGAGCAATGCTTGGCTATGAGGGAGTAATGAGTTGTGAGGCAATGGGGCAGGTGCTGGGCCAGTCTGCCAACCCAGCAGGAGGGTGGAAATTGCCAAAGGCTTAATTTCAGTTTGTTGGTGTCAGATTCACACATCTTAATCTGGCGTTTCCAGTTTCCAATGGAAATTAGAAATCAGTAAATACTGAGAGATTTGTACCTTTTAATATTGCTTCCTTCGCTATTTACATTCTTAATTCTCTTCTTTGAGTGCAGGATATCAAGCTATATCACCTGTTTACCCTTGATACTCCTACTACATATTTTCAGAAGCTATTTTCGTCTTGAGTGATAAGACACAGATATGAATTAAAATATTTTTACCTAAACTGTTATTTACTAGTAGCATACACAGTGGTGGGCAACATTATAGAGAGCCTTGTGACTTGAGCTGAGTTCATTTGCAGATGATCCCATGCCTGCCGGTTAAACATTTGATAGCATAATCATCACTGTGGAAAGTTAATTTAAGAGTAATTATGGTCAGCGAAGATCACTGGCTGCACTTAATATATATGCACTGCATGACACATCAGGGCAGAAGTCAGTTCTTACAAGTCATCTTCTCTTGCATTTGGCTGTCAGGATTTATCAACAGAAAATTCCAAATGCTTTACCAAGTTCTGTGGTGCCACAGGGACTAGTGCTACCCTCATGTTTATTGAAGCCCAGTAGGTAGACGTTCTAAGTCAGGTGTAAACGTGTGGTGCTTATTTGCACGACCTGCTACTAGAGAACTACGTTTATGCAGCCATGTTCTTTCCCTCTCCAGGATCTGATATAGCTGTTTTAGTAAAGGATAGCATCTTTGAGCAGGAGCATGGAGCAGTTTGCTGTTCCAGAAGAGAGGTTTCAGTGCCAACAGAAATGGTCTCGTGTTCAGAGTCTACATCTGGTTTTGCAGCTATAGTCTGTGGCAGGGCCTGATGACGGAGGAAAACTTGTGTAGTTGTTTCCTGCCTCTGATCCTCCATATTCCATTCAGCTGGGCACTTCTTGGCCATTTCATCAAGTCTGACCTCAGAGTCAATGGGGTCATTAAAAAGACTTAATATCTTTCAGAGTAAGTCAGGTTCATTATACACATATTAGGTTGAGTTCCTGACCTGCATGTGCTCCAGATTCAGTCATCTTCAGGTCAGTGATGACACCAGGAGATGCAATGGAAGACATGCATTCTCATGTACCGTGTTTTTCTTCACTGTTCTCTGTTGAATGATTCTCCAACACAAGATACTCTTTTAAAACAGCAGCAGAGCGCTGTATCTCAGGTTGCCTGATGAGAGCTCTTCACATCTCTTAGAATTGTAACAACGGTTTTACAGGTCACTCAGTGTCTTTTAATGGTATTAAGTTGAACTTGGGAAAGCAGCACGTTTACTGGAAACAACGTGAGTTGGATGCACTTCTTAATCAGGGCTTTGTTAGCTGTGATTTTCAGGTATAAAATCCAACTGGCTTCTTCAAAAATACTTGACACTGCATTTGCTTGTGGATGACAGGCCAAATGCTAACCTGTTTTTTGTTGGCAATTCCTTGAGCGCTGGGAGCACCAAACCCCAAGAGTTTTTGGAGAGATTATGTTTTGGAGAACATAAGCACAAAAACTTTTGCACAAGAAAGGTTCCTGGAAAGGATGTTTTTGTATATTTATTCTGAATGTTGGTATTTAGAACTATCAACACAATACTTTGCAAGTGCCAGGCTAGTTTCACTATTCTGACTAAAGAAGAATAGGCATAAATAACCCGACTGAGGCAAAATATTTAAAAAGTTAAAACACTTGTTTAAAAATGATCTGTGCAAGCAACTGAAAAATGTTTCTGTTTTTATGGACTGAGAACAGCTATTTAATCAGACAGTGTAACACTGTACCTTGTTTCTGTTAGTGTCCTCACTCCATGATCTTGTTTAAACAATGGTGCTCAGATTTTGTTCTGTGGTCATCAGTAGGGCTTCAGAGAGCAACCAGAATGCTCAATCTATCACTGCTTTTATGTATAGTTCAATTACGTAGAATTGGATTTCAAGGAATTTCAGGTCTATGGGGGAAGGGAGAGTAAGGAAAGTTTGAAATGTATTCTAACTCTGATTTTTCTTTACTCCCCAAGGCTGTGTGTGTACAATGTCCGGGATTTGGGGGAATTGTTGGGATCTGGACTTTGCATCCAAGGGCTAAGTTGCTGTTACTTTGTATAATGATTTGCTTTCAATAATGCATCTTTTTTTTTTTTTTTTGAATTTAAATAAATTATTTTGCTTCTTACATAACTTTTTTTAAAAATAAATTCTGTGAATTCTTTAGTTTTTTCTTTTGTGGTAGTGATCTGAGGGAGGGATCTGCAACTGACATACAGAAAGCTCATCAGTGCTATCTTTGTTTTCTCAACAGGATTTGGATTTACTCAAATTTTTAATTCTGTAATGCAGCATGAATGGCTGTATCATGTACCAGATGATGTACAGTAAAGGCTCCCTTTAGTGCAGATTGCTGTTTTGGAGCACGTGAAGGAGAGCCCTCACGAGTTATCTGCTATCTGCTAATGCTTTTCTTCTAGAACTGAAATTGCTTTGTAGCAAAACTTGCCCTAGGCTTCCATTTGGACAAGTACCCAATATGGCTGAGGAGACTAGAGGAAGATCCTGCTAAATACTCTGAACTACCCAGATTTCTGGCGTGTTTGACTTTTTTTTTTTTTTTTCCCTCCTTTTTCCCCTTTCACTAGCCTATGCAGAATGAACGTGGTTCAGAGTTTTGAGGTAGGACTGTTTGAGCCCCTCTGAAGGCTCTCAGTGTAAATTACTCAGTTTTCAGATGAAAAACACGGGGAAGGTGACATGTTTGCATCCAGTACTTCAGTTTAAAGAGGCTGTAGCTCTAACTTTAGCACAGCATACTCAACCTTTACTCATATTTCTACCATGAACCCAGTAAATTTGACCCTCTGGTTTAAAAAGGTGTCTTCTGTACCCTAAAGGTTATTTTTGGTTTCATATGTAACTCTTAAGATCTTAATACTGTGTCCCGGAAGGTTTAGAGCATATATAATCTCTGTGTGAACTGATTTTTTTTTTTTTTTTTTTTTGTTATTTTGTTTTGTTTATGTTCTTTAATAGCTTTAATAGATTTTAATGATTTAGATTTAATGAAATAGTTGAACCATAATGTGGTTTGGAAACTTGCAAACAAATGAGTAAGAACAAGAGTAATTCAGAAACTGAAGACTGATGACCAGCATGAGATACTAGGTACTGTAGATAGATCAAGACTGCAGCGGCATCATCATGTTGCCCTGTAGGCTGCACCTCTGCTTGCCGGGCTGGTGAACCAGTTGATATTATTGGTAAATACCTGGGAAGGTAAAACTCCCTGAATTCTTAATAATGCCCTAGTTGTAACCCAGTGTGTCTTGAACTTGTGCACGTTCAAAAGTGATCTTTCTGGGTGCTTTGGAAATGGACTCAGCTGAGGAGGCTAGTCCAGATTCCAGCCCGCATGACTTTACCGTTTAGTTGTGCCACGGGCTTTCTGTGCATCCATAGAGAAAATCAATCAGTGATTTGCATTTCTAACTCTTAGGCAACTAATTCTTTCGCTTATTCCAGTCTTATTCTAGGACAAGTTCTTTTCTTAGCTGTTCCTATAAATACAGCACAGGAAGGCCTTACGTGCATGTATAATCCCAAACCATATGGCCTCTTTCAGGGGTCCTGGATGTTACGTTT